CAAATTCCTCTGAACTACAAAAAACCAGGCCAAATTAGCAAAGCACTTTCAAAGAAAGAGAGTAAATTGCTTCCTGCTGACTCTATTGAATTAAGATGCTTTATTTCTACACAGACGCTCAGAGCTTCAAACTGGAGACTAGAAACATCTACTCCTTCTTTATAACGCTTATCTTACATAATTCAGAGTAATGAATTGATGAAAATTCTGCAAAAATGATTTTTGTACTTAGTATTTTTGTCTTGTTTTCCAGTATAAATATCTAAGCATTCTTAATCAAGAGACAATGACTTGAGAAGCAAAATGACTTATGATATTAAGTCTTATTTTCTGAAAAACGTATTAAAATAAAGTTATGTTTTGCTTAAAACAAGAACAATTATCTGTCTGTGTGGCCATAAAAATAATCTTGTTTATTTATTTATTATTATTTATTTTTTCTGACCCACTGGCAGATATTAAACAAAATAAACAATAAATAATTAAACAAACTAATTATAAAAATACAAATATTAAAGAAAAAAAAACAAATGAATAAACAATAACACACACACACACACGCACGCACGCGCACACACACACACACACACACACACAGCTGTTCTCTCTGCTCTGGTTTACAGGATCGAGTATTTTCATGAAAGAAATAAACACTTCAATCTCACGGAAGATGTTTAACAATTTAGTGTCAAATTAAATGTTGCACATTTTCATAAGAGCATTTAAGGCATTAATGTCTACAATTTTCTGTTTTTTTTTTTTTTACAAAAACAAATTCTTAATGATAAAGTACAAATCTTTCAAGATTCTGCTATAAAATGATTTATAATTATATAAAATTGTAACATTTTAAATAAAATTTGTAAAATTATGTAACATTTATATAAAATGTAATACAATATAATAAAATAATAATTATAATAATATAATTCATTATAATGCTTCACTTTTAAAACAACAGGTTTAAGAATTACATTAAAAAAAAAATATATATATAATGAAATGAATGTAAAGATTGTTCCACTAAAAGATGCTTTTGCACTCTACACTGGTCTCACTACCTTCGTGTGAGCATGTGTCAAACAGTTTCTGTGCGGTTCTGATGGATGTGGATCTGCTGCAGTAGGGGGCGCCGGAGAGCTGATGAACACTGAGTGTGTGTGTGTGTGTGTGTGTGTGTGTGTGAGAGTGTGTAAAAGTGTAATGACAAAGCGCTCTCTGTAAGGCTGCGTTTCCACGGCGATAGGAGAGGGGCGTCTGACCAGCGAATAGTGCGTCTTTGTGATACACAGACGCTCAGAGCTTCAAACTGGAGACTAGAAACATCTACTCCTTCTTTATAACGCTTATCTTACATAATTCAGAGTAATGAATTGATGAAAATTCTGCAAAAATGATTTTTGTACTTAGTATTTTTGTCTTGTTTTCCAGTATAAATATCTAAGCATTCTTAATCAAGAGACAATGACTTGAGAAGCAAAATGACTTATGATATTAAGTCTTATTTTCTGAAAAACGTATTAAAATAAAGTTATGTTTTGCTTAAAACAAGAACAATTATCTGTCTGTGTGGAAAAATAAATAATCTTGTTTATTTATTTATTATTATTTATTTTTTCTGACCCACTGGCAGATATTAAACAAAATAAACAATAAATAATTAAACAAACTAATTATAAAAATACAAATATTAAAGAAAAAAAAACAAATGAATAAACAATAAATAATAAAAATATCAAAGATGAGCATAAAAAAACTATAAAATACGAAAGATAAAATAAAATAAATAATAAAAAAAATCTAATAAATAAAAAATAAAAAATATCAAAGATAAGCATAAAATAAACAATAGAAATATTTTAAAATAAAAAGTATAAATAAAAAATAAAAATATTAAAAGTATTAAAAGATAAAACAAAATAAATAATAAAAATGTTAAAGGTAAAAATAAAATCATAAATAATACAAATAAAAACATGAAGTTAAAACGTCAATAGGTTGGTTGTTGGACGACATTCAAGACAAAAATAAAAGAGTAAGAAAATACATTTTTTGCAGTAAGTCTGGGAATGACATAGTGATCAAAACATGTGATAAGTTTTATATTTATGCAATTATGTTTAGATACATTTTAAATTCAAATTTGAGAAAAAATATAAATGCATGTTTGTGTGTTTATCTATCTATGTGTGTGATCTAAAGGTTACGGGCCAAATCAAATATCCATCCATAAGACGGCCAAACAATAGAGTGACAAGAGTTACAGTCCTAAAAATAAACCGCTTCAGTCCAAACAAAAGCTGGAACAAGAATATCCTGCAGAAAACCCCCGCAGAGACGCGGCGGGAGAAACGAGCGCAGGAAACGGATTTTAAACACAATACTGTATTTAGCGGACCTGGAAATAAAGAGGTCACGGGGTCACGGGCGACAGGATCAGAGAGACAGGAACTCGCTTTAAACAATCAGATCAAACACTCAAACCCTGTCAGAGAAACTCATATCATCAGATTTAAAGCACTTTCTGCTCAAAATAACAATATTAAAAAACAAAATCCACTAAATAAGCGATAAATAATAAAATAAATAATAAATAAACTAATTTAAAAAATATTAAATTAAAAAATCTAATAAACAAATAAGAATAAAAATATCAAACATAAGCATAAAATAAATTACACTAAAATATTAATGATAAAATAAACAATAAACAATGAATACAATTATAAAAATAAAACATATTAAATAGGACTAAGAATAAAATGAACAGAAATAAAATATTAAAGATAAAGTAAACCATAAATAATTGATAAATAAAAATAGAAAAATACTAAATAAGACTAAGTATAAAACAAACAAAAAAACAAATACTAAAGATAAAGTAAACAATAAATAAATTATACAAATAAAAATATTTAAGACAGCATAAAATAAGCAATAAAAATATTAAAAATTTAAATAAACAAACAATAAATTAGATTTTAAATATTTCAGTTAAATAAAAATTTATTAAAAAAAAGAAATTTAATAAAAATTATATAGACATATTTAAACAAAAAACAAATAAAAAAGATATTAAAGAAAAAAATATATACTGTAAGTAAAAAAGTTAAAATGTCAATAAGTTGGCTGTTGTCTGTCCTTGTTATTCCTCTCTGAAGCTCCAGTGATGATAAAGACAATTTATAAATGGGTCAAAATATGCCTGTTAAAAAGTGTTTGCCTGTTAATACAGTTAGTGTGTGTGTGTGTGTGTGTGTGTGTACATGTTTTTCTACACTGGTGGGGACTTGTGTCACTGTGGGGACCCCACGGGTACAGAAGCTTATAAATCATACTTATTGACAATGACTGCTCCTGTTTGGACACTTTAATCTCGTCCTTCTGTCCTCCATGTGGGGTAAAATGTGCCATTATCAGCCTGAACCTCTTTAAGCTGATGAACACTGAGTGTGTGTGTGTGTGTGTGTGTGTGTGTGTGAGAGTGTGTGTGAGTGTGTAAGAGTGTGATGACAAAGCGCTCTCTGTAAGGCTGCGTTTCCACGGCGATAGGAGAGGGGCGTCTGAGCAGCGAATAGTGCGTCTTTGTGAGTCCCACACACACACACACACACACACACACACACACA